GAAAAATTCAAAAATCGCGGCGAAACGGTAGAGATTTCGTGGCGAGACGCCAGGGAAGATTAGGGAGCATGCGCCTTTAAGATTACGGTAGAGGAAAATAAATGGAAATTTCCATGGAAAAATGAGAATTTTGAAGGGAAAAGAAGGGATTTTCAAGCAAAAATCGGCAAAAAAACTTTTTTAAAAAATTTTATTATACCAGAATACAGAAGAAATAAAAATAAGTCCCTGAAAATAGAAAAAAAAAATTATTCAGTCGATAAAAAGAGAAATAGCAAGAAAGAGATCTAAAAAAGGCTTCTGATCACTTTAAACAATCAAAATTCAATGCAGAGCAATTAAGAAGTAAAACAAAAAAATTAAAAAAGAAACTGAAGAGAGTGGGATTCGAACCCACGCCCCCGAAGGGACTGGTGCCTTAAACCAGCGCCTTGGACCGCTCGGCCATCTCTCCGCCGGTGGGGAGAAGGGAGAGATGGCATAGAAGATGCCGCGGGTTTTTGAGAGAAAAATAGGGAGAGGGGGAGCGAGAAAGAGAGCAATGGTGGGTGTTGGGCACTCAATATTTTTGAATTTGGCGCCATTTTTCTTCTTCTTCGGAGTTTTAGTAAGCGGAAAAGAAAATTTTTAAGGCTAAAATTATGATTTAAAATGAAAAAAGACAATTTTTCTGTCAAATCGTAGAGTTTTTGCATTTAAAATACAGTATTTGCTCAAATAGGAGCCCGTCAACTTTGAGCCAATATATCTTCGTTCCTGTGAAAGATATCAAAAATCTGTTAACTGATAAAATGTACCTAATATTATGATAAACATTTCATTAGTTGACAACTTTTTGATATCTTTTACTGGAATTGAGATATATTGGCTCGAAGTTGAGTGGCCACCGTCGTTGCTCCACCAGCCTCGCACACCGACCGTAAACTTTGAGCTCAATTTTCTCGGTTACTGTAAGAGATATCAAAAAACTGTCAACAGATAAAATGTTCAACATAATATCAGTAACATTTGTTAGTTGACATATTTTCGATATCTTTTGTAGTAAAAATTTTGTAGTAAATTGTCTCAAAGCCTGGCTGCTGTCAAACTCCTAAATAAATGTGAGCTCAATTTGCTCGATAACTATAAGAGATATAAAAAACGTGCCAGCTGATAGAATATTGCTCAGCTTATTATAAACGTTTTATCAGTTGCCAAAATTTTGATAGCACTCAAAGGAACCGAGATAACTGAGCTCAAAGGTGAAAAGTCGGCGCTTACCGACCTCCTAACGTTGAGCTCAATTATCTCGGTTACTATAAAAGATATCCAAAAACTGTCAACTAATAAAACGTTTGTCATAAAGTGAACCATATTTTATCAGTTGACTGATTTTTGATAGCAATTATATGAACCGAGATAAGTGAGCTCAAAGTTAGAGGGTCGGCGAGCGCCGAGATGTTTCCAATTTCTTCCAGTATCATTTTGATGTTATGGTCCCTCAAAAGTTGTCTAGTACTGTTTGAAATGTTCTAGAATGTTCTCCGCGCTCTCTATTGTTTCCAGAAGATCCCCCCAAATCTCCTTTTTCAGCACTTCTCCCTCTTCTTTCAGCCCCCTTTTCATCTTCCCTATTTGTTCAAAGCCCCCCCTTCTTTTTTCTCAAATTCATCTATGACTTCACTAATCTTCCCGCACTCGATTGTTCTACTAGAATTCAAATGTCTCTCTTATCTCTCGCCCATCACCAGGGCTCACGGTGCCAGCTCGTGTAGCTGGCACCGTGCCGGCTCTCAGACAATCTCTATGTAGTTCCCCAGGGCAACGGAGCCGGGCTCACGCGTACTCCTCTCTTATTGTCTCTCTCTCTCGCTTCTAGAAATTTCTATTCTCTCTGGCTCCGCCCCTCTCGCCCCTTAATCCTTATCACCTCCTCTTTCCCACCTTCAGTTGTCATGGAATTTCGTATAGCACGTTCTAGAGAGCACGCGGACTTTAAAGGCGCATGACTCCAGTGGCTAGAGGCTAGATCGGAAACTTTAAAGACACATAGTCCCTCCAATCTGCTTCTAGACCCAATAGGATCTAGCTATACATGTCTTGAACATTCTAGATCCCTCTAGTGTGAGTTTAAAGGCGCATAGTCCACATCTAGATTCATCCCATTGATTCAGTGTCACTAGAAGGTACTCCTTAGGCTCCTAGACCTTCTAGACAAGTCTAGAAATTTCTAGATAGCTCTAGACATAGTTTAAAGGCACATAAGCTAGCTGAACGTAGGCTACCGTAGCTGATAGACCCCACGTCTCCCCGCCCTTTAAAGGCGCATAGCCTAACCAACAGCAGGCGTATTACCACATGTCGCACCGGATAGGGGATTATAGATGACCTGACCTAGGGGGACCAAAACTAGAGAGTAGATAAAATCTCTGTGCCGTTTTGCCCCTGCTAGACTTGGCGGCACAAAAAGACGCATGGTGTAATTAGGATGCAGATGCTAGCACTAACTAATTAGGCTGTGTCAGAGTCTCTTGGCCTAGTACAGCAGACACGTGGTTTTAAGATCTTGAGATTCTTGGATTCTGAAGATCCCGAGAGTTCGAGATCCGAAGATTCTATAACCCGGTAGAAGGTCCAGTCCTGAGGATCCAAAGAAACTTCTAGAAGCTTCTTGTCCAAGCTAGAACCTAGGACTAATTTCCTGATTTCTAGAAACATCTGGAACCTTCTAGCCAAGCTTTGGAATCCTAGACCATAGGAACTTCTGGAACTTTGCAGATCAGCTAGGGGATCCTAGAGTCTAGGATTGTCAGGTTCCAAGAAACTAAAAACTTTTGGAACGTTCTAGACCACCTAGGGGATCCTGGTGGCTTATAGAACCTTCTAGATGAAATATGAGATCCCAGAGCCCAGGAACTTTTAGATCATTTTAGAGACTCTTGCGGATCTTAAGGTATAGAGACTTCTAGAATCTTATAGAACCTCCTAGACAAGCTATCGGATCCTGGAGTCCAGGATCTTCAGGTTCCAAGGATCTAGAATCCTCTAACGCCTTCTTCTTTCCCTTCATCCCAGCTAGACTTTACTGGAACCCCTCCAGGAGCATCTATGGGGATCCTAGAGTCTAGGATCTGCAGGGGAGCCTACACTCTAGGGTCTTCAGGCTCCAAAGTTCTAGACACTTCTGGAACCTTCTAAATCAACTAGGGGATCGTATAGTCTAAGAACATCTGTCTCTTGCTGCGGGACCTGTCTATTCCAACAGTTCGACTTCTAAAAGTCTTTTCTCGGCGTCCTCTAACCCCTTCACACTATCTCTCCATCTTCCTCTTCTCCCACATTTTTTGCCCTTCTAGAAGGCTACCTTGTCGTGCGACGTAGTCGCTGTCCTCGCATTCTCGACAAGCGACAACCCAATACGCTGCGTCTCTTCTCCCTCTTCCCTGCTCCTCCTTCCCCCGTTTGTGTACCCTATGTCGTCCTTCCCCAGCACTCGCAACATCCCTGCGACGCAACATCCCTGCGACGCAACGTTCCTGCGACGCAACGCGACCGCGTCGCAAAGCGCGGCCGAGGAGAGAGCGCGTGATCCGAAGAGAGTTTGACAGGCCGTCGCTCTCTGTCTGTCTGTGTCTCTTGACCTCCTGCGCTATTACAGTGGTCAACTCGGTCCGCGCGCGCTCACAGGCCACACTCACGCTCACACTCATGTACACGACCCCATCGACACTCACCATAGCCTCTTCTCTCTCATTCTCCTCTCATTTCTTCCCCACTAGTTAGTCGTGTTGTTTATGTGTGCTTCGTTTGGCGTGTCGCGCGCGTTTTATGAAATTCGAATTGGCCCACTAAAATTTTTAGTACCTTTACCTATTGTTAGCCTTCTCTTAGTCAATAAAATCGCTAGATTTGGAGCTTCAGAACCTAGAATGCCTTGACGACACTCCACCGAACCAGGCCAGAATTTGGTGCATCTACTCTAGACTTCTCCAGCCTAGAACTTATCCTAGAAGCTTAGAACTCTTGAACCCTAGATCCCTAGAGTCCAAGAATCCTTGATCTCTGGATCCCTAGATCCCTGGATCCCTGGATCCCTAGATCTCTCGAATCAGAGAATCCTAGACCTAGGCTGAAATTTCAGTTCTAGAACATCCCGATATAGATTCCCTATCGATTTTCCGATTTCCCCATAAGAGCCATCGTCCCGCCCCCTTTCGCTGCGTCTCTCTCACTCTCGCCATCTTGGCAATGTTGCATTCGTCACCATTACCACCACCACCATCTGCCCCCTGTCCTCCCTGTCCTCTGGTATCTTTTTGACACCCGAATTCGCCCTTGCCCACCCTGTGACCCGTAGAGCTTGCAGGGTTTTAAAGGCGCATACACCATCCACTTACCTTTGAGCTAAATTATCTCGGTTCCTATAAGAGATATCAAAAGTCTGCCAAGTGATAAAATATTTGTCATAAGCTGAGCAATAATTTATCAATTGAACGATTTTTGATAGCTCTTAAAGGAACCGAGATAATTGCGCTCAAAGTCAAGAGTTCGGTTGACGACAGAGTGGCTCTGCCGACAAGAGCCAACTTGCCGAATTTGAGCTCAATTATCTCGGTTCCTAAAAGACCTATCTGTCAACTGATAAAATGTTATTCACATCATGAGAAACATTTTATCAGTTGACAAGTTTTTGATAGCTCTTTAGGGAGCTGAGATAAATGAGCTTCAATTTAAGAATCTCAACTTGCAAGCTAAGATCCCGTTAAGCGCCCCAAATACCGTAATCCTTTTGTGCTCCTTTGACTCTTGACTATGCTTTTTGATTTACAAAGTTCTTATCATCAATTTCCAGGTCTAGTCGAACAACTTCCAACAGCTCCAAATTCGTCCAACTGCTCAAGGGTAAATTCTTCCGATTGCTCAGTCCCCCTTCCAACACCTTAAAAGAAAACGGAGGACAACTTTCAACTGCTTGGAAGTCTTCCAACCACTCGAGTCTTCCAACAGCTCCAAGGCAAACGATGTCAGCTGCCAAGCGACGCGCTGTAAGCGCCGAACCAACGGACCCAGATGGTCCAGAAGGACCACCAGTGGCTGTCGACATGCCAGACGTCAATCTCAGCGATGACCAACGCGCGATGTACAAGTACAAACTGAACATAGCGGATCCATTGAACGAGAAGAACCTAGAGGCCGAGTTCGAGTTGGGGAAGAAAACGATTGAAATGCAACTCAACGAGAACGACTCTCTTCTGGATATCGTAGTCGGTCCGAAGTATAAGGATTTCGAGGCGGATCCTGATGGCAAACGAGTCATTATACAGGACATTATTGTGCACAATTTCAAGAGCTACAAAGGCAGTCACCAGTTGGGACCGTTTCATAAAAATTTGACAATGGTTATGGGACCGAATGGAAGTGGAAAGTCTAATATCATTGATGCTCTTCTCTTTGTTTTTGGTTTTAAGGTGAGTTGAGCTGTTCAACTTCAGCAATAACGATTTTTTTTCAGTCGAAAAGGATTCGAGCTCAATCGCTGGTCAACCTGATTCACGACGATCGAATCGCCAATAGTAAAGAAACCACAACGACGATCAAAATGGCCAAAGTTGAAATTCTTTTCCAACAGATTGAAGACATTGTAAGTTATCGATTTTTGTAGATTTTGCGCGTTAGAGCGCACTTGCTATATATTTTGAGAAGTCGTCAAATATGATGTATTGTGAGATTTTTTGAATTTTCCAGTAGAAATGTTGAGTTTTAACCCAAACATGAGAATAGCCTTATATTTTGAGAAGTCGTCAAATATGATGTATTGTGAGATCTTTTGAATTTCCCTTTTTGTCTTCACAGAACTTTTGAAAAATCCTGTCTGAATCACTTTTTACTCCAAATTTGAGTTTCAGTGCACTTTGTCGTCAGATTCGGTGTTTCTGTGGAAATCTTAGAAATCTGCCGCAAATAACTGGTTTTCACTACAAAATTGAGTTATTAATCAGATTTTCAATGTCGTATATCAATATAAGGGCATTTTAAATCTCTGAATAGACTGTGCATTTTGTCGTAAGGTCTGATGTATTCTTAGTTAACAGGGGATTTGGCACAGCAATTCAAAAATATTGTATTTCAGGACGAGGAAAAGTACGTTGTGTCACCAGGAGAAGCATTCGTCATTGCTCGTACCATCACCAGAGAGGGAAGTTCCACCTATCAGCTGAACAATTCAAATGTCCAATTCCGTGTCATTGAACAACAGCTGAGCAAAGTGCACATCGATTTGACGCACAATCGATTCTTGATCCTTCAAGGAGAAGTCGAAGCGATTTCACAGATGAAACATACCAGCGGAAATCGAGATGAGCCAGGAATGTTGGAATACATTGAGGAACTTGTTGGCACTCAGCGATTCGTCGAACCAATCAATCAACTGTCCCACTTGACTGCATTGTTGGAGTTGAAAGTGTCTCAGTACCATGCGTCGTGTCGTCAGCATGCGGGGCACTTGGAGAAGTTCCGAGCCGCGATGGCAGCTGGTGTTGGATATCTGAACAATCAGAATGCAATCAACATGTGTAAAGGATTGATGATCCGTGGAAACATCAGATATGGTATGCAAATGAGGCAAGCTGCGGAGGAGGCGCTGATTCGGCGGAAAGATGAGCTAGATGATGTTGTGTACACTGCAACTGAAGCCAGGAAAGCGTTGAGGGAGAAGGAACGAGAGGAGAGGGAGATTGATGCAGAGTTGACGGAGCTGACAAAGAAGAAGATTGACGCAGAAGAAGAGGTGGCAAAGTTACATGACACTGGTAATCAGATAAGAATCAATGTCAAATCAGCGAATTCGGTATTAGTCAAATGTGAGAAAGAGGCGGATAAACTGAAAGAGGAGTTGGAACAGCTAAGAGAGGTTCCAGTAGCGGCACGAGTCAATATTCAGAATATGCAGGAGGAGCTGGAGCAGATTCGATTGAAAGCCAACGAGATTGATAAGAGTTTGACGAGCAACATTCAAAAGTATGATAACAAGATTGGAAAGGAGAGAGGGCAGACCCACGAGATAGAGCAGGAGCATAAGGTGGCGACGGATGCGTATTCCAAAGCAAAGTCTGAGTATCAATTGCTCCTTTCGGAGTTCAACTTGAAACGCGAGGATGAAGAGAATCGGCAGGCGTTGGCGGATTGTGAGCAGAAGTTGAAAACCGAGGAAGCCAAAATGACTGGTCTTCAGAAGTAAGTTAACAACCGCGTTCATTCCCAACATAAATTACTTTTCCAGAGAACTCGAGGCCACTCAGGAACCTTACAATGAAGCTAAAACCAATGTCACTGCCAGTGAGACCACTTTGGGTACAATGCGCCATCATTTGACTGGTGTTGAGAGCCGCCTTCAGTCCACAATCGATGAGCTCAATTATCTGTCACATGAGGACTCGCAAAGGAATCTTCGCGGCAAAACCACCAAAGTGATGTATCAACTCAAAGAGTCTGGAAAGTTCACACCGTTCATTGGACGTCTAGGAGACTTGGCGCACGTTGATGAGGAGTACGATGCGGTCATGTCGACGATATTCGCCGGAAATTTGGACTTTTTGGTGGTCAAGACACATGAGGACTGCATAGCAGCTATCGATTTGCTCTACAAGTTGAAGCTCCCGCGCGCATCGTTCTTCGCTCTGGAGTACGGTAAAACGGTAAACGATCAACATATGGATAAGCCAACTAAACTTCCTGGCAAACGCTTGTTCGACAAAGTGCAATGCAAAGATCCAGACATCCGCCGTTGCTACTACAGTATCATGGGAGACATTCTGCTTGCCAAAGACATGGAAGAAGCGGTGAAACTCGACAAAAAAGGTGGTGGCCGTTTCCGTGTGTGCACGATGAAAGGAGGACTCATCGAACGATCCGGAGCGTTGACTGGCGGTGGTTCGGTGAACAGAGGTCGCATTCAGACGAGCGAAATCTATCAGCGTTATGAAGCGGAGGAGTTCACAAGCACGAGCACTGATAGCGAACGAAATGCGCATCGAGAGAAATTGGTCACTCGAAAGGAGCAGTTCACTCGGGAACGGAAGACAATGATGGAGAAAATCGCACTTGAAGAGCGCAATCTTGCCAGTCTGAAGCCGATTCTTGACTCGTTCGGACCGAAAATCGCTGGGCTGGATGAGATGATCATTGAGACTCAAGGACGCATCAATAGTCACAAGCTCACGATTCATTCTCTGACAAGTCGTTTGGATACTGCTGGTGACTCTACAAATGCCGAACAAGAGCTACGCAATATGCAAGCACGACTCAATAAGCTTTCCGAGACAGTCCAAGAAACAGAGGCAGTCGTGGCAAGGACTGGCGCAAAGGTGACTGAAAACGCTAGGAAGTTTGAGCTCATTCATGACAAGCTGATTCGCCAAAACCGAGTTCAACTTGAAGAACATCAGAATCGTATGAAGGAGCTGGAGGCGGAAATGGCAAAGGATCAAGCGCTGATCACCAATAGTCCAGAACAGATTCGAGCTTGTGAACAAAAGTTGGCTGCGCTAAAAGCCACCATTGAGGATAAGTCTGCTGCTGCTGGTGTCCGTGGACGAGCTGAGAAGGAGTTCAATGATATTCAGCTGGCGGAGGGAACGACAAGGCTTGACCGGACTCTTGTAAGTTTGATTTATCGCGAGGACCTGCTAGGATTTGAAAAATTATTTTTTTAGAACGAATGGAGAGCTATGAACAAAGAAGCCGACGCGATCAAGGCCGACAGGAAACTCAAAGAGCAGGAGTATCAAAGGGCTCTTGTTGAACAAAAAGAAAAGCAAGTCATCTACAACGAAACTTTGGATCTTGTGAATGAAACTGTGGCTCAAGTGGCGCAACTGGAAGAAAGTCTGCTCCCTATTGATGATAATTGGCTTGAGCCGGAATCCCTCGACTCCACAGTTCAATATGTTCGAATCGGTGATCCTGACTTTGATGATAAGGTGTCCGAAGGCGCGTTGGTGATGCCGAACGACGTTTTGGCGATGATCGAGCCCTACCGTGAGCAATACACGCTGGCCGTTTCGGAAATCCATTTGGAGTCAGAAATCATCGCATTTGTTGACAAGATGACAGCTCGAAAGCAGAATCTGGAAGCGCAGGCGGAATCGTTCCGAGTTCAATATGACGAGAAGGGAATCTCGCAGTACGTGATGATGGTCTCCTTCCAGATGAGTGAGCAGACAGCGGCGAGAAAGTATCGCGCCAAGCTTGCCGCGCATCGAAAGAAGCTCAATGAGTTGAGACAAGCACGCTTGAGTGAATTCTCGGAGGCATTGGCATTCTTGGGAACGACTACACAGATGCTTTATCAACTGATCACCAATGGTGGCGATGCTTCGTTGAAGTTTGTGGAAGAAGGAAAGTCATCGGATCCATTTTCCGGAGGAATCAAGTTCAGTGTCCGACCTGCTAAGAAGAGTTGGAAAGTGATTCAGAATCTGTCTGGTGGTGAGAAGACGTTGGCTTCTCTCTGCTTCGTCTTCGCGATGCACCATTTCCGTGCGACGCCGCTCTATGTGATGGATGAGATTGATGCTGCATTGGATATCAATAACGTTCGCTTGATCGCAAATTACATCAAAAACTCGGATCGCACCAGGAACGCTCAATTCATTATCATCTCGCTTCGCAATCAGATGTTCGATTTGGGACCACGTCTTGTTGGAATCTACAAAGTCGATGGTTGCACAGGGAATGTAGTGGTGAATCCGGAGACGGTGGAGACCAGCAAGCGGTACACACAAAAGTTCTTGGATCAGAAAAGGAAGGAGGCGTATCTAAGGCAGAAGGAGCTGGAAGGTGCAGAAGATGAGCAACCCGAGCCGTCGCCAGTGCCTGGAAGACGTAAGTTTGAAGGGGAAAACATGAAAACAGGAAAACATAAAAGAATTTTTTCAGGTCCCCGCACACCGAAATTCGCTGCGCCTTTAAACCTCAAAGATTTCGGAATCGGTTCATCGGACGAGGATGAGAGCGATGAGGAGGATCAGCAGCCGATCAAGTCCAGAATCCACGCTGGCATCATTCGACGAATCAAAGACATTGCTCTAGAAGAGGAAGATAGGACACCGTCAGATTCAGAATACGAGGAATCGACCATAGGAGGCAGTTACGTCGAGGAGGATGTTCAAAGTGAGGCCCCATCAGCTGGCCGGCCAGTCGAGACGGATCGAGAAGGTTCCTATACCAATTTCGATGAAGAGGGCGATGAGCCGATTCGGAAGAAGAAGCGCAGGAAGGTGGCCAAGGAGTACGAGGATGCTAGTGATCTGGAGAGCACACCGACGCCCACAAGAGATCCGAGTCCTGTGGTTCAGACAAGGTCCAGAAGATCGAGACTTTAATTTGCTTCGTTTCCACTAATTTTTTACCTTGTTTACGGGTCTTTTTTGTCTTTAAATTTTCAAAAATCCCAAAAAAATTGCTTTCTTTATTTCCCGACTCATTTTTTTCGATATTTTATAGGTTTTTCCCATATTTCCACCCATTTTGTGTAACTCTTACCTCCAAAAAATGATTGCATGCTCATTTTTGACCCTAATTTCATCCCCAAACACCTTCAAATCTCCTGAAATTCAATTTTATATCCCAAAAACTCAAAAAATCGCAAAAATCGATAATTTGGATTTTTGCAAATTTTCCATTTCTTTTCACATTTTCCGGGTCATTTTTTATCGCTTTTCTTGATTTTACCATCCAAATTATCATAAATTGTCTCTAAAACTCTTAAAATCCCAAAAAAAACTTTTTTTATAGTTTTCCCAAAAATTCCAATTGCTCGAGCTCAGATTTGAGCTCTTTTCGGGTATTTTCTCATGTTCTTTCTTCCAGATTTTCAATTTTTCCCTGTTTTTTTTTGTATATTTTGTCCCATTTTTTGCAACTTTTTCCGATTTTTATTATTAATTTATCAATGTACAGACACATCTCAATTCTTATTAATACATGGTCAATTTCTTTATTTAATTCTTTTCTCTTTTTTTTATTGAATAAATTAATTTTGATAAAACACTTGAATTGAGCAATTTGACACACAGAATGGGGGTTTTCTGCCGATTTTGCACACAAAAATGTCCTGAAAATGACACAAAAAAACCGGCGCAAAATTTTTCATGCGCCTTTAAATTTCCTACAGTAACCCATTAAAATTTTGCGAAAATCTGAATTTCTGAAATTCTAGTACACTTTTTATGAATTTCAGTATGATATTCGAATTTTCCAGAATTTTCTGATTTCAAAAATTTTCAGAAAAATAGAAAATCATTGAAATTCACGAGTACAAATTTGTACATGTTCCTTTAAATATCCTACAGTAGCCCGGAGTATAATCTTCCGAAAAATCTAAATTTCTAGAAATCCGGTGTTTTTCGCAGGAATTTCAATGCCAAATTCGAGTTATTCGCAATTTTTAAGTTAAGAAAACAATTTAAAAAAGCAGAAAATCATTGAAATTCAAACATCTAATGTAAATTTGTTCATGCGCCTTTAAATTTTCTACAGTAACCCGGAATAAAATGTTTTCAAAACCTAAATTTCTAGAATTCCGGTTTTTTTGCCTGAATTTTGATGTAAAATTCGACTTCGCAAGAATTTTTATGTCCAGAAAACACAAAAAAATTCAAAATTGAAATTTCCCGCCAATTTACTTCTAGCAAACGCGCTCCACCGCACCGCCGCCAACTGCCAATTAAAATACCCGATTTTCAACCAAATTCTCTCGTTTTTTCGCTGAAAATCTTACTAATTCCGTCTAAAAATGTCAAAAATCGGTGAGAAAAGCCGCTAGAATGCCAAAAATCCCAAAAAATGTTCCAGAAGAAACCGAAAAAGCCCAATTAAAAGTGAAAATTGAAATAAAAGAGGAGATTGAGGAAGAGGAGGAAATCGAAGGCGAGGAAGAAGAAGATGACGAAGAAAGTGAAGAAGAAGAAGAACCAAAGGTTTTTAGGCAAAAAATTCAAATTTCCAGCCCAGAATTCTTCCAGATGTCCCGTGTGAAGCGGGCATGTGCCATGGCGACCGAAGCACTAAAAGAAGCCAAAAAACAGCGACGTTGTACCTGGAAAATTGAGGAAAACTGCGTTTTGGCACTGAAAAATTGTCGAATTTCGGCGAATTTCGGCCAGCGACTCAGCAAAACCGAAGCGTGTTGCGCGCCATGCTTCTCGACGACGTTTCGGGGCAAAGACTACGAGCAGGAGTTTATAAATTGGAAATTAATGGCAAAAGACGGGCAGATGCACATTAAAAGCGATCAATTCGCCAAGAGATATGTTAATGTGCGTTTTTGAGTCAAAATTTGAGAAAAAACGGTTTGAAACATCATAAAATTCGCCTAAAAACCATCCAAAAACAACCCAAAATACCCTAAATTTGGCAAAAATCACCAATTTCCGATCTAGAACTATCTTAGTCTGAAAATCAGCTAAATCAACTTAAAATCGGTTAGAAATGGCTTAAAATATGCAATTTTGAGTCAAAATAAGCCTAAAACAGCCTAAAATGGCCTCAAATATAGCATAAAATCGGTCTAGATGGTCCATACAAAAAGTCGAGAAATGGCCCGAAAATCGTCTGAAATGACCTGAAAATGGCCTAAAATAGCCTGAAAACGGTTCAGATTGGTCCAGAATCGTCTTAAAAAGACCTAAAATGACCTAAAATAGGCCTCAATCGGCCTTGTTGCCCAGTTTAGGGGCTGATTTAGGCCAATTCCAGCGGATTTGAGGCCGTTTTCAAGCGTTTTAGGCTCATTTCAGGCCCTAATAGGTCATTTTTAGCCAAATTTCAGCAATTTAGGCCAATTTTAGACCGATTTTGAGCTGATTTTGGGCGATTTTCAAGCTATATTTCAAGGCAAGAATGAGCTGAAAATGTGTTAAATCGGCCTAAAATAGCCTGAAAACTGTTCAAAAATAGGCTCGAATAGCTTTAAAATCATGAAAAATGGGGCTTGAAATAGCTCAAATTTGGCCGAAAAATGAGAAATTTCGAGTGAAAATGACCTAAAATCGGCTAGAATCGACCTATCCAAGTCTGATATCAAAATAGCCTTTTGAAATAACTGAGATTGGCTCATTCTGGGCGAAAAATGAGCTAAAATGAGCCGAAATAGCCTAAAACGGCCTAAAGCTGTCTGAAATCGATTAGAATCACCAAATTTCCATCTAAGCCTATTCTGGGCTGAAAATGAGCTAGAATACTCTGAAAATTTTGAAAAATCTCAAAAATGACTCAAAATACGCGAAAATTGGGCCTAAAAGACCGAAAACGACCTAAATTCAATTTTACCTGCCTGAAAAGGGCCTGAAATAGTTAAACCTATTTTAGACGATTTCGGGCCTATTTTTAGTGATTTTCAGGCTTATTTTAGTCCAATTTCACCAACTTTAGACTCTTTTCGGACATTTTTCGACAATCCCAGAGATCCTTTTTCAGCTTATTCAGGTCCATTTTCAGACCATTTTCAGAGTCGCTTCCTGCCGTTTTACAAAAAGTGCCGACTATGCGGAAAATACGCTCAAATCGCCACGCGGGAGCCCCAAACCGCCCGTCAATTCGCCGATTTTCAGTGTCCCACTGGATGTGAGAATTCAGAAGAGCCAGAAGACGTGGAGAAAGTCAGAAGGGATTCTGGATGGTGTTTTAATGAGTTCGGACATCCTCCACTGCTTCAAAATAACATTTCCTACGATTTACTCGTTGATCACTATGTCACAAGGTAGTTTTGACACCAAAAATTGCATTTTTAGCGATTCTTGGCACTGAAAAACCGCATTTTTTGGATATTTTCGACCTCAAAAATCGTATTTTCAGCCATTTTTTATCTCAAAAAACACAATTATTTGCTGATTTTGACACAGAAAATCGCATTTTTAAATGTGGTGTACGGTGAAATTTTTTATTGCATCAAAATGTGCAGAAATGCATGTAGATTGACTTAAAAACAAAGAAAAAGTTCAAAAAAAAAAACTCCTTCATCGAGAAAAACGCATCGAAAAATACGCTGAAAGCCCTTAGGGACGAGGTTTTTTCTAGGCCGCCCGGCGAGTAAAAGCGCGCGAATTCAAACTTTTAAAATTTTTTCGCTCGTTTTCACTGTTTTTTCAAATTTTCCGATGTATCTGGAAGAAAAATTGACAAAAACCTAGAAAACTCTTGAAAAAACCGAAAAAAACAGTGAAAACGGGCGAAAAAATTGTAAAAGTTTGAATTCGCGCGCTTTTACTCACTGGGCGGCCTAGAAAAAACCTCGTCCCTAAGGGCTTTCAGCGTATTTTTCGATGCGTTTTTCTCGATGAAGGAATTTTTTTTGAATTTTTTCTTTATTTTTATGTCAATCTACATGCATTTCTGCACATTTTGATGCAATACAAAATTTCACCGCCTTTAACGATTTTTGACTGAAATTGCGTTTTTAGCGAATTTCGACACCAAAAATCGTATTTTTGGCTATTTTCGACATTAAAAATTGCATTTTTTGGCTATTTTTTCGCTCAAAAATCGCATTTTTCACTTTTTTTGACTCGAAAAAATTGCATTTTTTGCGATTTTTGACTCGAAAAAATTGCATTTTTTGCGATTTTTGACTCGAAAAAATTGCATTTTTTGCGATTTTTGACACAAAAAATTGCATTTTTGGCTGCTTTTGGCCTCAAAAATTGCACTTTTTTTGGCTGTTTTTGACCTCAAAAATCGTATTTTCAGCCATTTTTGACTCGAAAAAGTGCATTTTTAGCGATTTTCGACACTGAAAATTCCATTTTTCGCGCATTTTGACACTAATAATCGCATTTTTTGGCTATTTGTGACACAAATATTTGAATTTTCAGCCATTTTTGATCTCAAAAAACACATTTTCTGCTGATTTTGACACTGAAAATTCCATTCCTAGCTATTTTTGACTCGAAAAATCGCATTTTTCGCTCATTTTGACCTCAAATATCGTATTTTTTGCTATTTTTGACCTCAAAAAGCACATTTTTAGCGATTTTTGTCACTAGAAATCGCATTTTTTGGCTATTTTTGACTCAAAAAATTGCATTTTTGGCTGCTTTTGGCCTCAAAAAATTGCATTTTTAGCGATTTTCGACCTCAAATATCGTATTTTTTGCTATTTTTGACCTCAAAAAGCACATTTTTGACACAGAAAATGCATTTTTCGCGATTTTTGGCACTAAATTTCGTTTTGCAGGACCACCGGAATGGATGCCACGTGTCAGGAGGGGGCGGAGCTTATCGAGAATGGGGGCGTGGCTTTCCGCGATACCCGGAAGATTATGCACATGTTCTATGTACCGTTTACCGATGTGATTGCAAATATTGTACATCCAGAGTTCATGGAGACGGATGAGAAATTTGTGAGTTTTTTTGCTTTTTTTGGCTGAAAAAGGCTGAAAACAGGCTTAAAATGAGCAATTTCGAGTCAAAATTGCCGAAAATCGGCTTAAAATTGATTGAAAATGACTTAAAAACGGCCTAAAACGCCTAAAAAAGCATTTTTGGATGAAAATGATGTCCTGAAATCTTGAAAAATGGCTGAAATAAACCCAACATTGAGCCTAAAACTGCCTAAAATGGCCTCAAATATAGCCTAAAATCGGTCTAGATGGTCCATACATGCTCTAAAACTAACGCCTAATGACCTAAAATTAGTCTAAACTCGTCTAAAAAAGTCGAAAAATGGCCCGAAAATCGTCTACAATGACCTGAAAATGGCCTAAATCGGCCTAAAATAGCCTGAAAACGGTTCAGATTGGTCCAGAATCTGCTTAAAATGACCTAAAATGACCTAAAATAGGCCTCAATCGGCCTTGTTGCCCAGTTTAAGGACTGATTTAGGCCAATTCCAGCGGATTTGAGGCCGTTTTCAAGCGTTTAAGGCTCATTTCAGGTTTTTAGCCAAATTTCAGCAATTTAGGCCAATTTTAGACCGATTTTGAGCTGATTTTGGGCGATTTTCAAGCTATATTTCAAGGCAAGAATGAGCTGAAAATGTGTTAAATCGGCCTAAAATAGAGTCAAAATTGATTGAAGTAGTTCAATTTAAGCAAGTTAGGCCTGTTTTAGGCCAATTTAGAATCAGTTTAGGCCTTCCTAGACCAATTTGAGCCGATTTAAAGTCATTTTTAGGCTAAATTAGGTCCATTTTAGGTACTGTTAGGTCGTTTAGGTACTGTTAGGTCGCCATTTTCAGGCTAGTTTAGGCAATTTAGGCCAATTTTAGACCGATTTTAACTGATTTTGGGCGATTTTTAAGCTATTTCAAGGCAAGAATGAGCTGAAAATGGCTCATTTTAAGCAATTTAGACCTGTTTCAGGCCAATTTAGGATCATTTTAGGCTTTTCTAGACAAATTTGAGGCCCATTTTAGGCCATTTTCAGGCTATTTCAGGCTATTCTAGACCGATTCTAGACCGATTTCGAGCTAGTTTCGGCGATTTTTAGAGCGATTTCAGGCGGATTTTAATGTCATTTTCAACTCTAAAAACTATTATAGGCCCATTTGAGGTCTTTTCTGACTAATCTGGTCCATTTTTAGGGCATTTTAGATTAAGTTCGGTCGATTTTAAGCCATTTTCAGAGCAATTTCAAGCACATTTTCGGTCCTGATAAGTCATGTTTTTAGGGCCAATTTCTATTGGATCGTTTTCAGGCATTTTCAGGGCCATTCTAGTCTTATTTGAGGCCGATTTAGGGGCGATTTTGAAGCTATTTCAAAGCAAAAATCAGCTGAAAATGGTCTAAAAATCGGCTGAAAATGGCTTAAAATGAGTCAAAATCGACTGAAATTTAATTTAAGCGAAGATTAGGCTCTCTTTCAGGCCTCTTTTAGGATGTTTAGGATCATTTTAGGCCTTTGTAGACCGATTTAAAGCCATCTAAGGTTGATTTTCGGTCCTAGTAGGTCATTTTCAGGCTATTTCAGGCAATTCTAGACTGATTTTGAGCTGATTTTAGGCGATTTTTTAGCGATTTTAATTCTAAGCCAATTTTAGCCTGTTATGAACTGTTTTGGACCATTTCAGGGCGTTTTTAGGCTGGTTTAAGGTCATTTTCAGTCATTTTCAGCTCTAAAATCCAACTTTTCAGGCGTTCCCAAAGTTCGCCGACGATCCATTCTCAATCTACTACCTCCAAGTTCGGAATACGATCATCGCCATGTGGCTGAAGCATCCGTTCGCTGAGATCACACAGAAAATGGTCGAATCGCAGATCATCGTCCGCGGACACGCCCGAATCTTCTTCATCGAACATCTGATCAGGCCGATTTTGGAGTTTTTGACAATTAAGGGAATTATCAATTATGGAGCGTTCGATTTTCGCATTGATCCGTTGATGGGCAAGGTTCCGGTGAGTTTTCTTGGACTTTAATCGTTGAGAAATGGCTGAAAATGACTTAAAAATGGTTAAAAATGGTCTAAAATTGACTGAAAATTGACTGAAAATTGACTGAAAATCACTCCCAAACTAGCTCGAATTGCTTCAGAATGGCCGAAAATAGCCTAAAAATGACTTTAAATCGGCTCAAATTGGTCTAGAAAAGCCTAAAATGATCCTAAATTGGCCTGAAACAGGTCTAAATTGCTTTAAATGTGCCATTTTCAGCTCATTATTGCCTTGAAATAGCTTAAAAATCGCCCAAAATCAGTTAAAATCGGTCTAAAATTGGCCTAAATTGCTGAAATTTGCCTGAAAATGACTGAAAACGACCTAACAGTATCTAAAATGGACCTAATTTAGCCTAAAAATGACTTTAAATCGGCTCAAATTGGTCTAGGAAGGCCTAAACTGATTCTAAATTGGCCTAAAACAGGCCTAACTTGCTTAAATTGAACTACTTCAATCAATTTTGACTCATTTTCAGTCGTTTTCAGCTCATTTTTGCCTTGAAATAGCTGAAAAATAGCTCTAAATCGGTCTAAAATTGGCCTAAATTGCTGAAATTTGGCTAAAAACGACCTGTCAGGACCTGAAATGAGCCTTAACCGCTTGAAAACGGCATCAAATCCGCTGGAATTGGCCTAAATCAGCCCCTAAACTGGGCAACAAGGCCGATTGAGGCCTATTTTAGGTCATTTTAGGTCTTTTTAAGCCCGTTTTGGACCAATTTGAACCGTTTCCAGGCTATTTTAGGCCATTTTCAGGTCATTTCAGACGATTTTCGGGCCATTTTTCGACTTTTTTAGACGAGTTTAGACTAATTTTAGGTCATTAGGCGTTAGTTTTAGAGCATGTATGGACCATCTAGACCGATTTTAGGCTATATTTGAGGCCATTTTAGGCAGTTTTAGGCTCAATGTTGGGTTTATTTCAGCCATTTTTCAAGATTTCAGGACATCATTTTCATCCAAAAATGCTTTTTTAGGCGTTTTAGGCCGTTTTTAAGTCATTTTCAATTAATTTTGAGCCGATTTTCGGCAATTTTGACTCGAAATTGCTCATTTTAAGTTTATTATTGATCCGTTGATGGGCAAGGTTCCGGTGAGGGTTTTGGCTTTACATCGTTGAAAAATTGCTGAAAATTTGTCTGAAATAGTGGGAAATAGCTCAAAAATTGTCCCCTAAATCAGTCTGAAAAGGCCTAAAACAGCCTGAAAATGCCTGAAAATGAGCTATCATGACCTAAAACGGACCTGAACAGCTGAAATTGGTCTAAAATGACCTGAAATGGCCTAGAAAGGCCTGAAATAGCTCAGAAATAGCCCCCCAAAAACCAGCTCATTGGCCTAGATTGGCCTAAAATAGCCTGAAAGTGCCTAAAAAAGGCCTAAAACAGACCTAATTTTCACAACAATGAATTTCAGTTAAATTTTTGATCATTCTAAGTCATTTTCAGCTCATTTCCCGACCTAAGTTAGGTTGAAATAGCTCAAAACTGCCTAGAACTGGCCTGAATTAGCCTAATTTTCCTGAAATTGAATTTCAACCGATTTTGACTCATTTAAAGCCATTTTCAGCCCATTTCTGCCTTGAAATAGCTTGAAAATCGCCCCCAAATCGGCTCAAATAAGTCTAGAATGGCCTAAAATAGCCTGAAAATGTCTAAAAATGTCTTATCAGGACCTAAAACGTGCCTGAAATAGCTGAAAATGCCTCAAAATCGGCCGAATTTAATCTGAAATGTCCTAAATTGGACCGAAATTAGTCTGGAAAAGGCCTAAAATGGGCCTAAAATAGCCTTCAAATAGACCGAAATTCCAGAAAATCGCAATCATCGGTGCTGGAATATCTGGAATGTCGACGGCTCGCCACCTACAACACCTGGGTATCAATTCGGTGATTTTCGAGGCGAAGGATCGATATGGTGGCAGGATGAATGACGATCGGACACTCGGTGTTTCAGGTTGGGATTTGGCTGAAATTGGGCTGGAAAATGACGGAAAACAGGCCTAAATGGCCTAAAAATCGGCTTCGAACAGCTCAAAATGACTCAGAATAGTCAAAATTAGCTGAAACTGAGCTATTTTAGGTTGGTCTTAGGCGATTTCAGCCAATTTCAGCCGATTTCCAGGATATTTTAGGACATTCTAGACTCATTTTAAGCTGATTTAGGCTATTTTAAGGCGCTTTTAGGCTTATCATAGACCCATTTTGAGCTCTTTTAGGCGTTTTTTGGCTATTTCAGGCACTTTTAGGCCTATCTAGGCTCATTTTAGGTCGATTTTGAGCTATTCTAGCCTACTGTAAGACATTTCAGGCGCTCTTAGGCCTGACTAGGCTCATTTTAGGCCGATTTTGAGCTCCTTTCGGCGGTTTCTAGGTTATTTTAGGCGCTCTTAGGCCTGACTAGGCTCATTTTAGGCCGATTTTGAGCTCCTTTCGGCGGTTTCTAGGTTATTTTAGGCGCTCTTAGGCCTGACTAGGCTCATTTTAGGCCGATTTTGAGCTCCTTTCGGCGGTTTCTAGGTTATTTTAGGCGCTCTTAGGCCTGACTAGGCTCATTTTAGGCCGTTATTTGAGCTATTCTAGGCCTTTTCGGACCATTTAAATCACTTTTTGCAGTGGGAAAAGGCGCCCAAATCATCGTTGGCAACATCAACAATCCGATAACACTGCTCTGCGAGCAAATCGGCCTGAAATATCGAAATTCCAACTTTTTCTGTCCGCTCATCGATGAAACCGGCCAATGCCTGACGTTTGAGAAGCGAGAGCTGGATGATCAGGTGGATTTACACTATAATAATGTGCTGGATGCGATTCGCAACAAATATCAATCGAATCGCAATTTTCCGGACTGTACGCTCGAAGGTTGGTGCGAAAATTCGAGAAAATTCGATAAAAATTGGTGGAAAATGAGCAATTTCGGAGTTGAAAAAACCTTTTCTCAAGGTTTAAAGGCGCATAAACTCCAAAATCACCATCTGAAACTGGCATTTTTGAATTGCCCAGGTTGAGAGCTTCAAAATGAGCCCCCACACGACTAGGCTCCGCACACTTTGAGTTTTGACCTGCGCGTTGCGGTCGCGCGTCGCGGTTCGGTAGGTCAAAATTCAAAATTGAGCTAGACTAGTCGTGTTTGGGCTCGTTTTGAAGCGCTCGGCATGGCAATAGAGAATCCGTGATCAAATTCGAGAAAAATTCAATTTGGGACAGGCTAAGACCCCCCCCCCCCATGCGCCTTTATAGTCGAAATTTGAAAGTGGGCGGAGCCTAGTCGTGCTTAGGCTCATTTTGAAGCTCTTGGCGTGAAAAATTTGAATCAATAATCTAAATACTGATCTTTTGGTTTTCTAGGCCAACATGGGCGATTTTCTAGGTTACGCCCATAGGATAAGCTCATAACTTGTTTCAAAATTGGGAAAACTCAAATTTTCGGAACGGATTTGAACTTGAATTGTTTAGAAAGTACCCAAACATCTAGGTTCAGCTAATTTGCTGAAAAGTTTGGACCCCTATGCGCCTTTAAAGTCGGAAAATCTTAAAAAAAACAAAATGGGCGGAGCCAAATTCAATTTTTTTCCAATCTTGTTAACGGATTCTTAATTGTCATGCCGAGCGCTTAAAAATGAGCCCAAACGCGGCTAGTCTAGCTCAATTTTGAATTTCGACCTACCAGCCGCGACGCGGCCGCAACGCGTGGGTCAAAATTCAAAATTGTGCTAGACTAGTCGTGTTTGAGCTCATTTTGAAGTTCTCGGCGCGGTAATTAAGAATCCGTTAACAAATTCGATAAAAAATATTTTTGGGAGACAGGTCAGGACCCCCTATGCGCCTTTAAAGTCGAAAATTCAAAGTGGGCGGAGGCTAGTCGTGTTTGAGCTCGTTTTAAAGCTCTCAACGCGCTTAAATTGAAAAACGAGCAAAATTTTCCAGAAATGTTCTCAAAAATGAGCTCTGGCCTACTCTCAGCGGCGGAACTCGATCATTTGTACACTCGAGATTTCGAGA